TGATTTGTTAAGAAATCCTTAACTCGAACATATAAAATATTTTTGGACAGTTTTTAGAGGGTTGCCACCTGTTTAAAACTTCAAATTATTTAATAAGTGGTTAGCAGTGCGCGCTACCAAGTCGCAGGGCTTGGGTTCAAGCCCGGTTCAACCCAACATTAAAAAATAAAACAAAAAAGTTTTTAAAGTGAAACTTCTTTAGCGGCGGTTAGTTGGTTGGGAGTAAATTGGCAAATTCAACGGAAATTGCACACGGAAATGATGCAACGGAAATGGTGCAACGGAAATGGAAGCACTTCTTGTGTGTATGCATATGGTATGAATTTAACAAAAACTTGCTAATAAAAGGTTAAAGAATAACACTTAGCAAAAGGACAATACAAGAATGAAAGTAAAGGGCAGTATGTACATAGATAAAGAAAAGGATAAAAGCAAGGGCAATAATAAAAACAAAAACAGAGGTGCGTAAAGATAAATGCAAAAATGAAAACCAAGGTAAGTTTAAACACTTTACTTTAGTGAAGGGGAGTATGTTGATAAAGAAAAGTATAAACACACAAGTAAAAACAAAAGATAAATATAAAGAAAAAGATGAGGATGAGGATACTGATAAAAGTAAGGATGAAGATAGAGAAAGAAAGATTAAAATACAGGTAATTATAGAGAAAAGAAAATAGATGGAGACACAGAGACTCAATCTGTGAACAATTTTGGGATTTTAGTAATTTTCGGGGTTCTCCTGACCTATCGATATAATAATTGATATTTTTATCGATTTTGTTATCAATATTTTAGCGGTTTGTTATCGATACATTTGTCGATATTGTTATCGATATTGTTGTAGATTTTATTAACAATATTTTTATCGAATTTTTTATCCATATTATTATCGATTTGCTTATCGACACTATTGTCCATTATTTATAGATTTTGTTGTTGATTTTGTGATTGAGTTTTTTCGAATATTTATTGATTTTGTTATCGATATTTTTATCGATTTTCTAAACGATTTTTGTTATCGTTTTTTATCGACTTTGTTATCGATATTTTTATCGATTTTCTAATCGATTTTGCTACCAATGTAATTATCGATTTTGCTATCGAAGTTTGTATCGAATTTTTTATCGATTTTATCGATATTTTTATTGTTTTTGTTAGCGATATTTTGTCGGATGTTACTATCGATTTTGTTATCGATAGAGTATACAGATAAAAATGAAGATAAGGGAAAACAGAATAACATACATAAATGTAATTGGAAGGAACAGCTCGGCCAAAAACTTAGCAAAAATGTAAGCGCCATAATACTTATTTAGGGGATTCACAAGACGTGTTAACCGTCGTAAAATCTTAAGGTTAACATCTTTTTTAATTAAAATGGTTTTAGGGGATTTCTAACTAAACCGAAATTCTTTTAAACTGATAAAGAATATATAATTAGCCAACCCCCCAACCATTTTAACCGCTATTTTACATAAACAAGTGTTAAGCTTAAGATTTTACGACGGTTAACACGTCTTGTGAATCCCCTAATTATATTATTATTTTAATATATTAAGAAACATTTTCCATGCATACCAAAAATTAAATTTATGTGATCGGTTTCACGAATTCTGACTAAGTTTTATTCTATTTGTGGCTTTCAATTCTTAGTACCCAAAATTAGCAAAAAACTAACCGCTCTAGCCGGATTGTTCCGAATTACAAAAAAAAAAAAAAATGGGAGCCGATGTTATCAAAATTGCCTTTGTCGAATAATTCTAAAACCGGGTTTGGAAAAAATTCGAATAATCGAACAGCCTACTATCTTATGATATGCCTTGTGCCATGGTTTCCTTCCAAACTAAAACAAACTGACTTGTTTGCAACTGGTTTTGTCTGAACGGATTCCTTTTTTGAAAGTGTGCAGCTCTCTTTGTACGCTGCGAACTGTGCCAGGCTTTTGTTTTATTTTTTGTAAGTTACAAAACCATGCCGCGCCCTTTCGTATTTAATTGTGTGCGAAAGTTAATCGTATGTTAATTACCAGAATGTGATAAAAAGCAAGCATATAAACAGCTGGACGAGCAGGCAAGCAGACAAGTAGACATTCGCACAATGGGCATATATGTAAGCGGCATAGTGGTCGAGGCATTATACACATAAGCTCACAGACAGCGGGGCAATTACAAAAGCCAGCTTGAGCCCCTATTAAACTTTGGTTGCTTGAGTTAAGTGGCATGGCATTTTGTTTTATTGTGCGCCGCTTAGATCCCAACTACTTATTGCAACCACCCACCACCCAACCGCTTGTGCGATATACTTACTACATATTAAGCAACCACACACATTACTTTGCATTATTCATTTCATTTGTTGTCTAATACACACAATCAAACTACTTGCTGGCATTACTTAAGCTCTTTATTAGCTTGTAGCTTACATTTGTTAGTAAGCAACGCTCATTAAGAATCTATTAACTTGCCAACGTTAATGGCATATTGATAGCGTCATTGAATTTGTGCGCAACAAAAGCGCATTTTTTATTTGAAACAGTGAAAGTTATTTGTGCACGATTGGCTGTAAAAGCTTTGCCACCCCAGCGCAAATATCTCATTACCAACTATGTACATACGAATACATATGGCTACGTGGCATATGAGTAACATTTGANAGCTTTGCCACCCCAGCGCAAATATCTCATTACCAACTATGTACATACGACTACAAAGGGCTACGTGGCGTATGAGTAACATTTGCGCGTTTTGCTTTCACTGCTGCGATTGCATCTGATCTAGCGCATTAAAGCAATGAAAAAAAATCGTTGTACTAGTTAAGTAAAATCTAAATAGAAATTGAGAGCGAAATCACTTAGACGTTTTAAACTCATTTACGTATGCGACTCTCAATCGAAATCGCTTTCAAATTTTAAATAAATTAGAAATCCATTTCCGAAAAGCACTTCCAACAAAATCAACTGTATCAGCTTTGTGTACGCGATTGCATCGTTTCCTGCCTGCTTGCCTCCTAACTGTCGACTTAATTGCCTATTTCAATTTTCATTGCATTCACGAAATGTGCCCATTACAATACAGTTGCCCCCGTTTACCAGCAAGCGTGAACTGCCATTGTCATTTCTGATGACTCGTTGGCCTCGCTGATGACCCCATTATTTGTGATTTTTTTTTTCTTTTTGTGTGTGCATACTCATTGGTTTGTATCTATTTGTGTTAGCTTTTTTGTCGTAAGTAAGCGCTTGTTTGAAATTCCCTGTGCGGCAGCAATGATTGGCTAAAAGCTGCTGCTGCCGCAAACACTTACAAATCTATTGAGTGGCGTGCAATTTGTGTGATAGTAGATACATATATACGCGACTACTCTTCTGCAAATGGGTAACAATTTGAACTTCGATCGAAACTTCGGTCTCTTGTGACCTGGAAGAAAATGGGGGAAAAGGGAGATACAAAGTTGTTAAAAAAAAATTTAAGGAATAGAAAGTAGTAAGCAAAGTAAAATTTTACGGAAATGAAGGTAGAGAAAAAGGATGTAGAGGGCAAGCTACATCGTGCGGCCGTCAATTTTAGAATTTAAATATTATATTCGCGAAGTTAGTGACCCAAAATACAAAAACCGGTTTTTTTAAGGACTTCTAATTTATTAAAAAATATATATATATTTTAAGAATCCGGTGCAATTATGAATATTAATATCGGTATTAAATGAGGCAAAAAATTCTTTAAAATAAGAAATATAAATTTTTTGATGCATAAGGACGAACAAGTTTTTAAGTTGTCTGGTAAAAAATACTAAAAATAAATTTCAGGAAAACAAAGAACAGCAACAAAAGTTAGTGTTGCGAAGCTTTTATCTGTCTTAAATATTTAAAGAAGCTCAAATAAAAAGGTCAAACTAATTTCACTTTTGTTTTAGTTTCGCTGAGTAATTTTTTTGCTAAAATTGAAGCGGAAATTAGCTTTAGCAAAATTATTCCTTAGATTGGAGGATAATTTCAGCAAAGTCTATTATTTTGTTATGCTAATTTTCACTCGTAGCCACGCAAAACTTACCACCACTTAAAAAAAAAATATGTGGTAGAATTTTGTAAATAATATAAAAAAAATAGAATTTTATAAATTAAAAAAAATTTTAATATTTTTTTAAATATAGTTCAAACGCAACCAAAACTGTGGGTAGTAACAACAAGATTTAAGCTTTGTAAAAAATTTATCAAAATTTCTAACTTTTTAATAAATGTTTTTAGGAAAATTTCGACTATGCAGTTCAACAATTTAATTTTAGTATAATAATGTCCAAGAAGTCTTTCCAAATTCTCGGAGGTGTTTGAAAATTTTTATGCTAATGATCTTGCGTATTTTTTCGAACTAACAAATGCTTTTTATATGGGAGAAACACGCAACATCGTATTGAAAAATAATTGTCAAAAATTAACCAGCACTTTGACATAGCATAAACTTGCACTTTATTAGACGAGAATTGAATGGGCTATTAAACTGCATACCCGAAATTTTGCTGAAACGTTGCATTAAAAGTTTACAATTTTTATAAAAATTTTATGAGATTTGTATGAAATTTTGTACAAAATTAGAAACTTTTATTTTTATAGTTTTAGCTGCTGTTTGAACTATATTTAAGACAAAAATATTTTTATTAATCTACAAAAGTGGTGGAGAGGTTTCCGTTAAAACTTAAGAATACCAATTTTCTGAAATTTTGGAAAAAAAAATTATAAATTTTTTTGTTGGCAAAACTGGAGTACGTCGCATGCAACCAAAAATGGTCAATGTTCTTGCAAAATTTCTAATATTAAAAAGTTATGGGTACAGTAAACTAAGTAATAAAATGAAATGTTTTTAGAAAACTTGCCGGAAGCCATGTAAAAGTCTAGGCCTATTAAGACGCACACGACAAATTGGAGGAGAAGCTCAGCCAAAATTTATTAATAGTTGCTCTGTTAATTAACTATTATTTATATAAAATCTCTCTCTTCTTTCTACTTACAGAATTCATACATAGTTCCGTGCGTTACATTGAAATGTCACGCACACATTTGCAAAGTGTCGACGATGAAACATTTCAGGGACTCAGACTGAAAACATTGAAATTGATAGATAACGAATTGCAGGACATTTCAGATCGCAGTTTCAGGTGAGTGCACAGTAACAAATATATATTTATACATATTTTGTACATGGAGGCATAGGTACATAAGTACATACAAAAAACTACAACAAACCATAGCAACCATATAAATCAATGAAGTATTTATTTCATATCATCAATCGTAGTACACGACTCGACTTGCAAGGTAAATGAGGTAGAGATCAAATGTGTACAGTAAAGTGCAAAATAGTATGCCAGAATGTGTGTGTAGAGATTGTTTGGGTGTTGCATACATATATATGTGTGTGTTATTGGTTAGTTTGCTGAATTTGTAATTTAATTGAGCGTGCGAGAAAGACAAGCAAGTGTGCTTTGGGGGATGCTGTTGTAGTAAGAGTATTGTGGATTTGTGGAATTGAATGAAGAATTCATTTTTTTGTATCTCCGAACATGGAATTCGTATGCTTTGTGTTTGAAAAATATATATACATACACAATTGCCAAAAGATTTACCTACAATGGTCTTTATGCTCGATTTAAAGTCAAACGCCCCACAGTTATGGGAATTTACATTTAGCGAGGCTATTGCATGCAATCAAATCACATAGTCACATCTGAGATATCTATCTGACTGAGGGACCACGGAGTTGAAGTACAGAATGAAAGTTTTGTGGTAATCTCTGCCATAATTAAAACAATTGGTTTCTGCTCTTACGCCTAATACCGAATCTAATGAATTACTCACTCTTCTGCAAACAAAAGAGCTCTAGTTAGCTCACAAGAGGGGTGTACATAGATCATCAAATCCTGACTTTACAGTCATAAAACTCTTGGTCTGATATATACTCAAAAAACTATAAATAGGCTACACTCGTCTCCGAAAGCATTTTGGTGGTAATTGAAAAGGATTTTAGGGCATATAAATCAAAATTTCTGTTTGACATAACACAAATAAATTTCGAAACTTGCTCTCGACCAAAACATTCGTTAGTCAATTGTTTGAACCTTTTCTTGAACATTTGTGGGATAGTTTTCCATTTCGCTTTACAAATGCACCCTAAAAGCTAGTCGAAGTGACCACTCTATGCCTGATTAATAACAAATAAATATTTGTCGCTTACTCTTTTGCTGATCGTTTGGCCGATATACACCTCTAATTTATGCTGTGCGTCCTGATCTTACAACATAAAATAGCGGGAACTCCAATATGCGCCGCCTGCAAACGGTAAATTGCTATAATAAGAAGCTTCCTCATGCAGAAATACACATGTTTTGGTACTTCCGACGGGTTACTAGTATGACACATACATATTCCTTCTTCAGTTCCATTTAGTGAGAGAAAAAGACAATAATTTTTGGTGCTTGACGATCTTCTTTTCTATTTTCATTCTTTATGAGTAGGTATGTATGTATGTCCTTATGAGATGGCCTTCTTTTTTAAATTTATTTATAGGCATATAAGCAAATTGAAGTCTAATTAAGCTTTTACTAATTTACATTTTGAGGAGCTGCGTATTCTGTCTTCTTAATTTTTCAAGGCAAAATCTATATTAGGAAAATAAACGTGCTTTAAGGCTTCCTATTAAATCATTCCGTAAGGCAAAATCTCGCAACTGATAAAAATAGTCTTCAGTGGAACCGTATTTGTTTGAAGATACCATTACATAGAATCCTGAAATACCTCTAATTTTTTGTTTTGTTTTTCGAAAATTTTCAAAATTTTAAAATTTTCATGGGATTTTTTGCGGTCCATTCAGAATCTTTTTATAACCTTTTCTCGAAGTCTGCGGTTTTTACTTTTGAGATTTTTGAATGAATTTAAATTTTTTTGAGACTTTCCACGGGATTTTTTCAGGACGGTTCAGAATCTTTTTAAGACTTTTCCGAACTCTTCGGGTTCTACTTTTGACTTTGACAAAGAATCTTCGCTTTTTCGAAACTTTTCAAGATTTTCACCTTATTTTATTTCGTAGGCCTTTACAGAATATTGATATTTTTTAAAGAATTTTCTCCAACTTTTGGGATTACTCGGGATCCTAAGTATTTTAAATTTCGGGGTTTTTTTTTAATTTTTTGACAAAAAAACTGGTTGTTTTCTGTTAAAAACAAAATTCTATCTTTCTCTATCTGTATTTCTTGCTCCAAATAATAAAAGTCAAAAGTTTTTTCGGGTAAAATAACGCATTGGTATGCCTTTCGCCACTTACGATCAAGAGATGAATGTAAACTTTGACCTGCCGAATTTTTAGGCTAGTCTAGTCTAGGTGGGTTCGAAAAAGGTCTTGAAGCGCTAATATTCTCTAAAGAGGAAGGATATATCTCACACAATCGGCACTCTAATAGGCAACTTTCACATAGAAAAATTTGCAGAACGGCGCAGATTTCCTTACTATAGATGCTGTAAAAGTTGCATACACTTTGAATAGGAGAAGACAGTTTTCTTTCAGTTTCAGTTGCGCTTTCTGGGGTATCCTTACTTTAGTGACCTTGACAACTTGTGGGACAAAAACCTCAGGTTCCTGACGAGTTGTGTCAAAGATTGAAAATGGTTCGGCGCCTACCTACCTACCTACCGTATATTTATTTATAATTCACCTAGATTCAAATTATATCTTGCTGCTCCAAAGCCTTGAACAACCCGAGATATGTTAGTGCATAAATAGTTACGTACATATGCACGAATGTATGGTTTACAAAGTTGATGTTCAATGCGAATGTGCATACATATGTATGTATACACATACCTACACACTTACATACATACAGCAAGATTAACCGAAATTTTTTGATTTATTTACCGGATGCAGCAGCTTTATTAATTATTCCCCAAAACTACACTTAAATGATATTTGATCTAAATGAGTTCGCTGTACATACTTAAATAAAAAAATTTTCCAAAGAAGGAAATATTTCTCAAGTATATGTAATGAAAATGAGTTGAAAACATGCAGTTTTGTAAATATACTGAACATTGCATATACATACTTAGTTATTGAATCCACACAGCTCCATCTACATTTATTTCAATGTACATACATACATATGTGTGTATGTATGTAAGTAAAAAATCTATATTATGAATGTAGTTTTTGTTTTTTTTTTTTGTTTTGGTTTTTCCTCTCTGACGCATTGGCGCAAGACTATTTTTGCTGCTTTTCTGCTCGATTGCACTCTACCACTCCATATGAGCAACTATGTACTTACATATATATAGTTATCTGCTGATAAATCAATAACCATGAACGCTGGCTAGTAAACAAAGTTGAATTTAATATGAGAAAATGGCAAAATGAAGAGATTGAAATTCACTTAGTGAAAGAAAAATATAAATAAACGTATCAAAAAGTAAATATCATTAAAGCAACAGAAAGCTGGGGTGGCGCGCGAGTAGAAAGAGAATAAAATTAAACTACAGAATGAAGAAGGCAATAAGGTTGGCGGCAAATCGTTTGCAGGAATAATTCTTACTAACCTGTTGGTGTACGAAAAACTTTTTGCAATTACTTGAGCGATTTGCACGCCGCATGTGCCTTCATATAGTACCTACNTCTTACTAACCTGTTGGTGTACGAAAAACTTTTTGCAATTACTTGAGCGAGTTGCACGCCGCCTGTGCCTTCATATAGTACCTACATATATATATATATATATATATGGTGGACCACTACTCGTGCGAGAGTGTTGTTGAAATGCATTCGTGTTTTTCGTTTTGATATTTATCGCGATTTTTCTTTGCAATTAAAACTCATTTTTTTGATCCTCATCCTGAAATGCTCATTAGGTGAAGTAAGAAATAAATTTCGTAGGATAATTTAGTGCCTGAAGCTTCTTAAATTCTTTCGAACAATTGGGTACGCAGGTTTGTTAACATAAATTAAAAATTAATAAAATTTACTTCAAGTTTCAAAGCTTATTAGGCTTAAAACATAAAATATGAAACCTTAAAACACGCATCTTTCTAATGAACTGCAGTGTGGGCTGTTTGACTTTTTGCACAGAAATTATAAAAACTTTACTGAAAAGTAAGATATCTAAAGCCAATTGGCGCGACGGTGCTTTTCAAGGTGAAGGTTTATTTACCATTTATTTAGCGACCTAGAAGATCTTTTGTATCCCTGTGATTGTCTTTAACTCTGACGGCTCAAGATGTTATTAGCCTCCGTTAAAAAATTTTCTTTGTACAGGAGTTCATAACCTTAAGGGCATCGACTGTGGAAGAACTGAAGCAGTTGCAGTTTTAGTCTTGCCAATCCCGTGCTATGACCCGTCCGATAGCCAACAAGCAACTTGATATCGGCTCTGTTCAGAAGTTGTATATCTTTCCCAGCAAAAGTACATATAACCAAAAAGCCTAACCTGTCTACGCCTCCTACATATCCTCAGTACTTATCGCGTTCTGAGTTTACCCACGATTCTATTTAAGCCGCGAGAAAGACCAACTGGGTCCGCAAAACGGTTCTGGCCCCACAAGTACGGACGCCAATACGGATTGCCAATTTGTTGGCGGTCTTGTTACCCACTATCCCGCAGTGTCCTGCCACCCAACAAAGTAACATCGTGTTCCTTGCTGACAAGAGTTGATTAGTGTCAAAGCACTCCTTGACGAACCTGGAGGTGATCGTCCTATTGGAAGGGGCCTTTATTTCCGCCTGGCTTTCTGAAAATAAAACTAGGTACGCGCCGTTTAAGCCCTTTCAAAGTTCCGTCTGGCATAAATTGAGATTTCTGGTACCTGGGCCTAAAATACCATGGGCCCAGTATTGCAATAGAAAGTTTGGTGCCAGGTCCAAAGACACTCGCTCCTGCTCTGCCCTCCATCCTTGATCCGTGTGTGTACCAGTGTACATATCTGGACTCTAGTTCAGAATTTTGACCTTAAATTATTTTCCAAAACAGATTTCCTTTGATATAGCGTCGGAGAACTTGCAGAATTTTACAGTTTTTGCTGCGTTTTTTCCACCTTACTATAGAGGCACAGAGCAGAAAGAACCCCGCACGCTGGGATATCACGCTCACGGATCCGCCTGATATTGGACGGATCTATG